CTATTTTGCACATGGGGATTTCCCCGTTTACTGTAATTCACTTTGTGTAATAAAAAAAATCCAAACACCGTATCAGTTTGGAAATCTCTCGGGATCATGACCAAGCGTATGACTCATCCTCCTTTCTGTATGACCCTATTGAAATTGTTTCATATAAATTTGATAGTATAGGCTTGAAAAAGAAATCACCGATAACATATGTTTGCCTACATTTTGTGTTCCTAATCAGTGGGTCTATTTCGTAATTTGATTTTATGAATTTTTTGCTGTTAAATGTGTCCTTGTCCCCTCCCACAGGATGCAATTGTGGCGATCGCTCTGATGGATGCATCACTTCAGTCGACCACAAATTCCTTAACTATGCCCAGTGTGATCGGATCACAATGTGAACAGACGAGTACCGCGGAGGCGATCGTGTCTGCGGATATTCCATCCGATGCGGGTCTCGAATTTACCCGCTGGGCGGGGGAGATTCGTCGGTCATTAGCAGAAGTTCGACCAGATATTCCAGGGGTGAATTTAGAACTTATTGATCAGTGTGAATCGACTTCAGTCTCTCCATCCTCGGCTGGCGCTCCTTCACCTCCACATCGAGAAGCAAAACACTCACCGTCCCCTCCTGACCACTCTGCATTTCATCTGAATTTCAAGCAACGAGACGAGACACAAGAATCTTTCCCTTGTGTGCCCACATTTTCCTTTTCGCCTGTGGTGAAAGATTTGGATTTCGGGGTTTCTTTATCGTTCGGTCCAATGCTCACGTCTACTCAACAACCGGACGAATTCGATTGGGACAAAGAGAACCTGTCTGACGTTTCACTTGACTGGAATGGTGAACTTGCTGGGACAAGTTTGCCAACTAGTCGACCAGTCATTTCATGGCCTGAGCCGGTCCCTCAATTTGCATCCCGTTCCGGTAAGCGCTTGTCCGCTCCGGATCGTGATGAGCATGACGAAGAAGGCACCAAACGTCCAGTAACAGCTGAGTTATGCAGCAAGAAAAATACAATTGATCCGGATTTCCGAGTTCCGGGTCCTGCAGTGTCGGATTGGAAAGCACGCGCCTCCTCAAAACTCGTACGATTCAGTGCTCTCGGTTCGATGAACTTACCCGAAATCCGGAATGCCGATTGTTCTACCCCAAGTACCTCCGTGACACTTACAGCTCAACCAATCCCAACAGTTTCCCGGTTTGGGTTGAAGCGCTTGTGCGATGTACAGTTAACCAATGAGGACTTTGAGATTGACTTATAGATGATGCAATTCTCAACACTATTATATCTCTTATTTTTATACTTTCCCCAGTCCGGTTACCGTTCAGAAAACACATCACATATCACAGACAGACCACACAAGTCCTCCTTCTATTCGATTTCCTCCGTGAATTCGTATGTACAAATAAAAATTTTTTATTTTCATTTCAAGGCACCTGTTTACTTTCCGAACTATTGACCTTTTCGCGGATGGGCTCCTGTGATCGAAAATGGATGGGTGCGCATTTGATAGAGTAAAACCGAGAGTATGTCAGAACATTCTATCGGACGTAGATTTCGTGATGACCTGTACAAGATTGGCGTGTGATTTTACTAAAGACTACTACTTCTAACTACACGTCCTTTCACACGCTGTATTCGTTATCACCTCGAAGTCAAAGTTTTATTATGGGGATTACTAACAAGCTCATGCTTGTTTTATCCCACCTCATGGGACGTTTACACGACTCAATCGTTTCTCGGCAAAAATGTCGCATTCAGTTCCTGGTGGGAGATAACACATAGTGTAGTCCTCAACTAATTTACACTTTTAGTTGTATAGGGATGCGAGGTTTGCCAGGGTTTCATCAAGTCTCCTCTTGAAAGATTCAATAGTTGGAACACAAGCGACGTGAGATGGAAGGGCTTTCCAAGTACTGTGTACTCTGACAGCAAAAGATTGGCGCCGGCGTTCCAGTGGACAGTTTGGAATCAGTAACTTGGAACGATGTCCCCCAAAGTAGATGTTGGGCGACAACGTGATCATCAGTTGATGTGGATGGTTTGGGTTCTGGAGTATTGGATACGCCAAAATCAAATCTTGAGTTTGGCGGTACTAAGCAGAATAGTCCTAATGATCGTAATCTCTCTTCATTGACAATCTCTTGACCATCTTGGTGGGCATCCTTTGTGGACGCTCTAGCATCTTACGATCACTTTGCAACCATGGACTTGGACAAGTTTGGATGGCATACTATGTATACGGTCGAATTTACACTGATAGCAAACATGATTCCCTCCGACCAAGGACTCACCTAAGCAAGCCGGTATTCTTCACGGCAGCGGACAAAGCTCTGGAGCAGTTGATCGAGCAGCATAAGTCCTCTTGAACAATTATACGTAAGACCTCACCTGAGGTATGTGATAGCTGCTGAGTTCCGAGGAAATACGAAAATCTACTCCTGTGGCGTAGGAATAGGACTGTACATTTAGAAACGTTGTTTTCCATGTCCATTGATAAGTTCTGTCAAGTGTTTCTTGAAGTGATAGACAGCCATCGGGTTCTGTTACTGTATTCCAGATTTTGGCATCGTCTCCAAACAGTATTGTTTTTGCCCTTGGCACATTCGGCAGATCATTTATGAATGCGAAGAAAAGACGGAGACCGAGTACGGACCCTCGTGGAACACGGTGGGTGAAGTTTATAGAACCGGATAGGGAACCAGAAACGAGAACTGATGTGGTCCGTTGTCGGACGAGTGCTCTAATCCAAACAAGCATGAAACCTGGAATGCCGTAACAGTACAGCTTCTGTAAAAAAATTGGTGGTTTACCCGATAAAATGCTTTCGAGAATTCCAGATGAATCCTATCCACCGCATCCCCTTCGTTGACTGTTCGGATCTACTCGTCTCGAACAAGAGACAATTTGGGGAACAGGATCGCTTTTGCTTGATCTCACGTTGAGCTGTCCAAAGAATGTTGTATAGTTCTAGTTAACTAGAAATCAATGGAGGATTTGGTTCAATCACAAAGGAAAATTCGTCGTGTATGGAGCAAATGAGGTGTGAATTGAAAATATAGGAAGCACTGGATAGCTATTTCGACCTCGTTGGGTCTCATAAAGCGAGGCGCGATGCCCACAACAAGCTCGCAAAGATAGGTTGTGCTGTATCTTGTAAATGGACAATGATAATGATCTGATCAGCTGCCCGGTGGCCGAGTGGGTAGTATGCTTGCACTCTACCTTTGAGGTCCCTGGTTCGAGCCCCGGTTGGGTCGATGGATTCGCACCGCCGATGAAACCCAACCAGATCGAAACAGCTGTCCACTGCTTCCTAGCTTTTCAGTTCACGCTTCATTTGTCCTGTACACGACGAATTTCCCTTTGAAATATTTTTAAGTGTTCCATCAGGGAATCAGCCACAGTTCACTCCATGACTCGAGAACATTGTTAGTAGGGTTATAGGTCGGTAGTTAGTGGGGTCACTAAGGCAACCAGCTTTGAATATGGATGAATTAACTCCGTTTTTTCCACGATTGTGACAGTCTTATTTCGTCGAACATCCACTGGAATAGAATGGCTAGTGGTTCGGATGTGATTTGCGAAAACGGAATCTCGGGTGTATAGTGTCCGCACAAGGGGTTGCGTTTTTCGCAAAGCTAATAGTTTCGCTTTGACTTTTTCAGCAGTAAGTGTTACGTTGGTCGGCGAAGGATACGGAAGATGATGCAACCACCGAGGGAGCCTTAGACCTTCAAAATGTGATGTAGCAAATCTTGAGAATACTGAGTTTTCAGCATTTCAGTTGCTTCCGTTAGAGTCGCTGCAATTTTCCCAGTGCAGCTTAGTGACGGTGCACATAATTTGACTTTTCGCATTGAGTTAAGTTGCTTGTACAACAACTTAGAGCTAGCGCCTCTTGGTAAACCAGCTTATCCTCATCAGTCAGCCTGGCGCAGTGATTTCTCAGCATATGATGATTAGTTCAAGTGACGATATCCGGAAGACTTTTACAATTTCGCCAATTTAGATCCATGGGAGAAATCCATTTCCTTGTACGACTTCGAGTAATTGGATGGGCGGTGGCGGCCAGGCGGTAACATCAAATCATAACCCCGGGAGGAAGTGCGTTCGAATTCCACCACCACAGCCTAGCTTTCCCAATTATATGTTCGATGTACGACAGTTCTTTTATTGGCCGCTTCCTCCTTCCTGAAAATGGTGTCATTATGTATTCAATAAAAGAAAGTAAAAACGAAAAAGAAATTTCGGGTGCTAGATTTAGTCATTGATGTTAGTAGGTTTGTGAGACTATCGATAAATTTCTCCCAGGAGACCAGCGGATAGAAGTGCTTTGTCATAGGAAACCCAATGAGTGGAGAGTGCCAAGTCTTGCAACCTAGTATCGTCTAAGATGAAAGATTTATTATTGTAGCTTACAAGCTTATGCTTTTCTCGTCCCATAGGTTCGTATTGTGATTAAAAGATAGTGATACATACAAGTCCTTGTGTAAAATATCACATGATACAGGATTCTTTCACTGCTGCACGCTGCCTCGCTTACGTTGGAATATAAGATGTGCTAATGTTTCATTGAGTCTCAGTTTGAAAGATTCAATGCTTGGAGCACAGACGATGTAGGATGGGAGAGTGTTCCAGATCGAACACATTCTGACTGCTAATGACTGACGCCGGCATTTTGAGACCACTAGTTTGAATGGATATCCTCTAAGATGAACGTTGGGTGATAGTTTTAGCAGCGGGCGACCCGGATGGATTGGGTGTTGCATTATTTGGTATACTATAATCATATCTCCTCTGCTGCGCCGGAAGTGATTGGAATATAACTCTCTGCATATGAACACCGATTCAACCACCTGACCACTTTGGTGGCCATCCTTTGTGGACACTCCAACACTTTGCAATTGCGTTGTAG